AGGTAATAATTTTGAAGAACTTAGTGTGCACAGTTTGCACTTGATGAATGTCTGCAATATCATTATCACGTCTTTGTTATTAAAAGGGTGAGTGTTCTCTGTTAGTCAGCTTTGTGTGACTGTGACCAAAATATCTGACAAGCACAATTTATAAGGAGAAAGGCTTATTCTGGCTGACTCTTTCTGAGGTTTTGTCCAGTTTAGGAGGCTTCAAGCCAGAAATATGATAGCCAAAGGGAATAACAGAGCAAAACTCGTGGCCAGGAAGCAGAGAGAAAAGAGATAGGAAAGGGCTGGGGACAAAATTATTTCCCAAGGCCCTGCCCTAGTGACCTACCCCTCCAGCCATGCCTGATGCCTACAGTTACCACCCAGTAGTCTATTCAAACTATTAATCCATCAAATGGATTAATCCATTGATGAGGTTACAGCCCTCATGATCCAATCTTTTCATCTCTGAACCTAGCTGCATTGTCTAAAACATGAGCACTTCAGGGGACAGTTTAGATCTAAATCATAACACTCTTGAAGGCACTTTTTATTTGCAAATAGTCATAGGGTCTTATTTTGACAGGCAGGTGGGATCCCTCTACCTCCTGCTCTGCTTACCTTGCTGTTGAGCCCTTCCTCTGCACGTGAGGCATTGGAAGCCCTTCCAACCCCAGCTGCACCCATGTCACATGGTGGGTCATGCAAAGCAGCTGCCAGTTTCCATTGTTCTCCATGTGATTGAATTTAAGGAGCTATTTGTTTTTGTTGTGCTTGAACTTTAGAATGTGTCTTGGGCATCGTCCATGGGGATGCTGAGTCGGCAGGAGAGGAGTGCTCAGGCACGAGGCTGGGTGGCTGAGGGACTAGGTGGGATGTGAGGGCCCCTCGCCTTTCTAGAGAGGAAGGAGGGAATGAGAGATTTAGAGAAGTTCTGCCTGCAGAACCACGTGGCTCTCTCTGACATCTCTTTCTAGGTTATTCAGCTAAAATATGATCACTTTGTTTTTCTAGAAGAGTTGAGGACAGTTTAATGCCATAAATTCCCAGAGGGATTTCTCTTATTTCTCCCTCTCTCTTATCTTGGGCAGAATGTTTGTCATTTTAAAAAATTGGCCTTAGAATGGATTAATGGTGCATTTAGGAATGGGAGGGGCAATGGGAGGAAGCATCAGCCCAGCAAAAGGGCACTTGGGAAGGCTGTGACCTAGGTAGGACTTTTGTGGCAGCCAGAACCCAACAAATTCATTCAGCTCTTTTCATGGAACCAACCAGACTTTTTCCTCTGGGATATAATAATTCAGGCTTTCCAGAGGGGGCACAGATGAATTACATTTTTATAAGCCTTAAACCCTCAAAAGATAATGGTTTCTACACTCTCAACATGTACTCAAAATAGTGAGAACATTAAAACAAGGAAAATACAGCAAGTTTTTGTGTTTTCTAGTGATGCTTCTTCAGAGAATATTAAATCTCAAATTCTGTCAGTTTTCTTTATCTCAAACTTTTGGTGTACTTGCTTTGATGTTACTCAGAACACCCCCATCTAGTTTTCAAGAGAAACTAGCAGCTTTAGCCCTGATGCAAGCATTAGGCTGTGCTGGCAGAATTTGGAACGCTGCCCAAAGCTACTACTGCCTCCATTCCTTGGGAGCCTCAGCATCCGCCAAGGCTGAGAGAGAAGTCTGCAGACTTGGATATTAGGCTCAGGAAGCTCAGAGAAGTTGGGCATTGTGGCTGGCTCAAGCCTCCCATATGCTGAACATGGAGCCTGATGCTAGAGAGAACATAGAATTTAAAAGACAGCTAGTGCTACCCAGGTCAGAGATTAATTGTATCAGTATTCTTTAGGATGGGAGCACAGTGTACACCAGGAAGATACCTCTTCTCATGCACTTTAATTCGAAACTGTTTTCTTTTTTTGCAAAAGATATCTCCAGTTTTATTCTATACAGTGAATAATAAGTGAAAATAAATCTTGTCAGGACGTGCCCTATAGGTTTGATTAAAATTCCAGGACTTGGTTGGCCACTAGTCTGCAGCTGGGAGTCCCACGGTCTCCTAAGAGATGGGTAGAAAACAATGAAGGTCCATGAGAACATCTCTTCCTAACATGAACTCTAATTTCAATAGTTCCTATCAATCACCTATTTTTGGTAACTGGATATTAACTACTGTTCTCATGTTGACTTCTCAAATAGTGTTTTTTTTCTTTTTACTCATCCTAGAAGTGCATATTAATTTTTAAATGAGCTGCTTGGCAAATCAATTTTTTTTAGGGGAAAAAAGTCTGTACTTTTGCCAGGTGGCCCAATTGTTCCTGCGATCTGGGTCACAAGTCCCAGGAGGAAGAGTCTGGATCATGGTTGAACATTTTTGATGAGCTGCTGCTTTGAGTTTTGTTGTCCACAGTGCGGCTTCAGAATGTATCATGACTCCAGAACTTTCAGTGGGGGGTCTGCTTCTTGCCTCGGCCTGGGGTCTTGGGGGGGGGGCTACATGCATATGTGTGCCCATGTGTGTGTGCGTGTTTGTGTGTGTGTATGTGTGTGTGTGTGTGTGTGTGTGTGTGTTTTGTGTAGGAGTTGTTCAGTGTGGCTCTGTACCAGAGCTCTTGTACCTGCCATCATCATCTGGCATATCCCAGAGAATTGCAGGTCTCCCTGCAGACGTAGGCTCAGAGAGGTTGGTGTTCTTGTGCCTCTCAAAACAAGACTTGGATAGAATGTTGGTGTTCCAGAAGGGAGCGTTACATTGGCTTTTGTCACCTGGGACGATCACTCCCCTTATTTCTGGGGGTAAACTCTTAGCTCTGTAGTTCTGGAAGGAGTGACTGACTCTTAGCACCTGGGTATGAACATAACTTTGCATTGTGGGTCTTTATCTGAGAATGTCAGTGGTTGGAGTCTAGCATGGGGGCTGCCATAGTGGTCATTCAGAACACCAATCTTACCAGCCGACTTCTCTGCCTCAGTGTTGACCACTGCTCCCTGCTGTCTATGAAGTAAAGTAGGACATGCTAAGTTCTTTAAAATTTGGCTGTGGCCAGGCTTAACTGTTTTTCCATTATTCATCTCTCAAAACCTCTGCCCATTGCAGGCCATTCCCAGCGGGCAGCAGTTTATCTTTATCCAAACCCCTTTGGCCATATCTGTAGAAATTTACAAATGAATAAGATGAAATATAAAGGGACAAGAACAGTAGCTCAATCTTCATATCATAAACCTCATCAAAACCTTCTTCCTATCGTACCAGACGCAATTTTCAGATGGATCATAGACTGAAAGGTAGAAGCTTCCAGATGAAAACAAAGAATGTCTTTTTCACTTTCTAGGAGGCAAAGATGTCTTAGATAGGAAATAAAACCAACTGTCAGTGAAAAATTAGATTATGCTAAAATCTAGCATTTTCATTCATCCGATTATACCTTTAAAACAGTAAAACATTTTAAAAAACAGAGTGAGAAAAAAGATACTTGCAAAAACATATTCCAATGAAGAACTGTATCTAGAAGATCTAAAGAATTGCAAGTCAAGAGACCATAAGTAACAACCCAATAAATAGTAGATAAAAAGTGTACACCGTCACTTTATAAACCCAAGTGTCTTAATGCCAATAAAGGTAAGATGGTCAGCATAATTGCTATCAAAAATGTAAATTAACCCTTAATAAAAGATCACCAAATACCATCAAGATGGTTAAGATTGTTTAAAAAGTGACTATGTCAAATGTTGACCAGGATGGACAGCACTGGGAACATCTCACATATTGCTGGAGGGAAGGTAAATGAGTTAAATTCCTTCAAAAAACCACTGGACATGATTTACCCAACCACTCTCTCCTGAAGATGTGTATGATCATCTAAGACTATAAAACAACCTTTGCATCTATCAGTGGCAGAGGGGGTAGGTAAATCATGGCATCTCCACACAAAATATGAAAGCCCTTAAATGTCATGGGAGGGAATTGGAAATCCCAAGTTTTCAATTTTGTCCCAGGAAGTCTGTGAGTATTTTAACAAAATTAGCATGGATACATGAAAATAGATCTGCAATCATAATCTACAGTTTCTACATCCTTTAGATACATTTTCATATATATGTATATTTACACATATTAAATGTATATATTTTCTAATTCTGTAATTATTCACCTATTAATTTTTTCAAAAGAATAGAACTCTAAAGGCATGGTATCCATTTCAAAAGTTACCATGAATGGTTTATTTGCTGCTCAGTTTAAGTTTTTATAGGTGTCCCACATCTCGGATGAAGGAGCCTAACCAGTTAGTGGACACTGTTTAAAAGTTGTGATTAGCAGAGCAAGAAAAACAAGAGGGTTTCAAGAAGTCGCATCAGATAATGTTCTGCAGAAATGTGCTCCCATTTGGATATCTTTTTTTTCTTTTCAAGAGGTTCATGTTGATAACTCTTCATAATAGATTACTTGGAGTCATTAAATGTTATTTTAAAATGCTCCCCCACCCCAGAATGTTTTCATGTTGAGATTCTTTTATTATTTTAAAATAGTTTTTCTCCCACAGAATGTTTTCATGTTAAAATTCTTTACACATTGAAAAAAATCACACCTAACCACTTATTGTATACTCTAAATGTCACCTATTGAACTCCTTGTTTCTCGCAAAAAGTTTCATTGCTTAATATATCAACAGTACATTTATTTTTGAAAAGTGGACAGAAGTGAATTTATCTGCCTGTATTTTCTCTGCCTGTATTTATAGCAGAGAATTTTTTTCCCCTTTATGATTTCATTGGATATTCTAGCTTAAGAAGTGATTGATGGTTGTTAAGGTTTAGGGATGTTTTGGTTCTAAAATTAGAAATAATTCATGGAGACAGAAAGTCCATTTCTTTTATTCCCTTCGTAATATTTAGTATCAAAGACATCTGCCAGCATAATTCTAAGTTCTTTTCTACATTACAGAGTTTACCTTGAGAAACTTCTTTCTAAACAGGCAAGTTATCATATGAGAATAAGAAAGACAAGGGAAATTAGACTTGCATCACTATTAGGTTTTCTTTATTAGTCATATATGTAAATATCATACATTACATGCAAGAATATCACAATACAACCCAAAACATTTATGGGTTCTGGCACATCAAGAGTAATGCAATGCAAACATTTATATTATTTTTACATACAACTGTCTTAAACAGTCAAATAGGAATGATGTAGAAAGAATTTAGTGATGTGCTTACTGTTTGATATTCTAGTCAACATTTTGATCTGCATATGAGACCATCATGATGAATCAGGTAATTCTTTTGAAAGCTACATCTGAACATCTTGTCCTACCTGGAAATGTGCATAATGATAAAATGATAGCTTAGTCTTTACTGAAAGTGAAGGTACTTATGTTTTCAATAATAAAAAGACATTATGATGGGGTTAGTACCTTAATTAAAATGGAATAAACAGAATATTGAAGGAAAACTTCCAGACATCACAATGAAAAGGATGTTGTATGTTTTTAAATATTATTCTTTGTGTATTAATACAATGAGCAATATATGTATTTGTTTCTCATTTTCCTCGTAGGGGCATATGGATGAAACAGATTCCCAGGGAAGTATTTTTGAAAGGTAGATGTGGGAAAAGGTCTGAAAGACAAGCACAAGAAACAAGTTCTGCTCATTGTTAAGTCTATGGATTTCATACTATGTTTTGAAAAATGTGGTTATGTTTTCATTTATTTGGATACAAAACCTGTCAAATATGAGCTCTCCTAGAACTTTCTTATGCTACTGGTTGGCATTTCCATTTGCTCTTTAGGTATTTGGACAGATGTGAATTAAAATGTTATCCTGCCGTGGGGGCAGGACTCCAGCTCTCATTTTATCCTGATGTTTTCAAAAAAGAGATCAAATTCTGCTCTTCTGTCAGACCAGGAACACATTCGAGAGATGCATGGGTAGAGGACTGATTGGTCATGTTAGGTTTAATTTGAAGCTACAGAGTAAAGAAGGAACAATTCTGTTGCCCTGTCTGTTGCTGGGGAGGAAGGTAGTTTGTGGGCATGAATCTGTTTAGAATATGTGAATTTAATTATGACAGACTCTAACCAAGTAGATTCTTAACAACAGTTTTATTTTATTTTATTTTTTGCCACTGAAATATTATTGGTATGTCTTAAAATTAAATGTTATTAGTTGACTCAATTTCAAAAGTAATTAAAAACTGACAGCATACCTTCTCTTTTCTAGCAGAAATTATTGGATAGCAAAAATCTGTCATGAATATTAAAAAAAATTGATGACAAGTAACATAGCACCTAATGTTTAAATTCACACTTTAAAATAAAACTTGTTTATTTGCTACATTTGATAGATTTTGAAGTTTCTTTTTATAAAGCTCTGTTTGCAAAATGGTTTCTTTTTTCATATAATAGCAAAATAAAAACAAGATCACTTGTCATTTTGGTTAGAATTATTATTTACTTAGGTGAGAAGTTCGGGATATGTTCTGCAAAAAGAGGAATGACTTAGTGGAAACTCATTTCTTCTTTAATTCCCATTAAACTAATGAGAATTTATATGCCAATATAAAGTGTATGATAATTATTAATACATTTCCATTAATATGAAAACATAAATTCCCATTCATATCCATATACATACCTATACTTCTTTTATCTTTAATAAATTCCCATAAAACAAGGGCATATGTGGATATGTGTGTGTGTATTTTTTGGCATATAATGGGAATATATACACTAATATTTATAACTTAATTCCTATTAAATTGATGAGAACTTGTATTCCAACATTCAGAGTGCTGTAGTCAACACAGACATTTTATTATAGGATTATTATATTATAAATAGTAACATTAAATTTTATGGATTAATATTTTAAGATGGTTCATATTTTCAGTGAAGTTGATGCTTGAGTAGAGATAATAGAATGATTTGAACTTCAAACTAAGATTGAAATAAAAAAGGTATGGTTGAAAGCATGTTGACTTTTCCAGAATAAAATGTAAATTATGAGTTTACAAGTAACTTATTGATTCTAGACTTCCAATTAAGGCGGTAAGCCCTTGCTAAGTTTTGTTCATTGATTACTTTTTACTTTGATCAAATTTACCACATGGTTTCTAAGGTTTTAGTTCACCATGTTGTGCATATGTGTGAATGTGCATGTATTTGGCATATTGTGTGTGCATGTATGTGCGTGTGCATGAGTGCACTCGTTCATGCACATGTATGTGTTTGCACGTGCCTGTATCTGTGTGCATGCATGTGCATGTATGTGTGTACTGCATGTGCATGTATGAGTGGATGTGCATGTATATGTGCATGCATGTGTGTGTGTGTCTGTGTCTGTGTGCTCAAACATGTGTGAGTGTTTTGGGGAACGGTGGTAGGTATTTTAAGGTATGAAGATGCGTAGCATCTGATCGGTAATGGAAAATTCAACCAAACCAGCCATTTGAAAAGACAACAGTGGTCCTTGGATTCTTGAGAGGCTGCAAAGCTGTTCCCACTGGTCAGAGGGAACATGACATGGGTTTTTCCAGCTTTCGACTAAATAAATATGTTTAAGAAGATATATAAAGCTATTTTTCCAATGAATTTAGATGTCTTTGAGAAATCAAATTCACATTTAAAAGTGTTATCAACATTTTAATTTCCATTATGGATTTTTCTCAAACCATGGGCATTAAAATTCCAATGATATATGTATGTGAGTCTCAATATTATGAGATCTATGCTTTAAAATATAAAAAGTACAGGGAAGCAGAGCCAGAAGCAACACTGCTCGTTTTTAAAGTGATGCCAGAAGTACATAACCTTTAGCTGGCATGGCCATTTCCTGGATTTGCCTTTGCTAACTCTCAGTTCTGCTTGAAGTACCAGGCAGCCTTCCTCTCCTGGTGCCTGTAACTGCTCAGTTTCAAGCTGTCTCTAAGTGAGAAATTAGCGAGGCAGACAACAGCCAGCATGTGGCTTCAACTCTCTTCAGAATCAATAAGAAAACAAGTAGCCAAACTGATCTCTCAATTTTCTACTGGAAGCTTCAGTCTCATTATGAGAAAAAGGATACTTTAAAATAGAGATATCCATGTTTTTATATGCTCATCCATGTACATGTGCCAACCTGTCAGCAGCCTGTCCCTTCGACCTCAACAGGCCACTACTCTTCTGAGATTTCACTGGGATTTATTGTAGTGAATATTGCTGACAATGATAGACATCAGCCATTGAAGGAATTGTATTAGGTAACTTAATTTATAGATTGGTTATGATAAGATTTGGTTAGAAGGGATGAGTTCATTCTAAAAGTGAAAAAGGAATCACGTGATCAGGATTAACTCCACCCCCATGTTTTTCCTTTGAATAAATGGATGGGATCTATTTAAAACAAACAAAACCCAAAAGCAATGGAAAGTTTTCAGGTAAACTCAAATTTTTCTCAAGAATTTTTTTCCCCAGCCTTTGCAGAAGTTATGCAATTGATTCATAGATAGAAAGGGGATTCTGAGAACACTTGCCCAACTACTCTTTCCAATACCGAGTTTATAAATCCTGAAAATAACCTGTTATTTGAATCTAATTTTATAGATGCAGTAGCTTGCATGGAAAATACCAGCTGGGTAGGAGGCCTGTTGGCTTTCTCTATTCCCTGGTGGAAATAAGGGCCCTAAATTTCCATAAAGCAAATGAGTTTTGAGTTAATACAGTAGTGATCAGTAGCAGCTCCCCACTGAGTTTGAGCAGGGGTGAGCCTGGGGGCAGATGGGAACAAATTGTATCATAGCCAAAGGAGTAACAGGAAGCCTTGTTATTCTCCTGTTTTCCAAGCGGACCCCTGCAGATGCAGGAGCAGGCAATTGGAGTCAGGTTTCCCACCTGCAGAGAGGCAGGGGAACAAGAATCAGCTGATGGGCTTCTAGTGCTGGTAGGATATTGGACATTGAATTCTGACTGGCTCTCTATCAAAATGATGGATAGAGGGAGACCTCAGGAGGAGAAATGGGGATTGTGGGTGGCCTGCTATGGTGTCAAGTCATGGCATAGGCACCTCTCAACTGGTGGTATTGACCTCCTACAGAGGTCACTGCAAAAGAAAATCCATTCAGGAGAGAGAGGAAAGGCTTTTGGGTCTTATTCTAAGGAGAATATTGTCATGTGATGAGAGGGGCATTTTAGGGAGAAGGGAAGAACTCTGAATACAAGGACAAATAACAAACAACATCCACCTCAAATCTCCAAATCAAAAAGGAAACAAAGAACAACAACAACCTCTCAAAAAACTGGGCAAAAGGAACCCCAATGGTTCCTTTTACCCAAATGCACATTAGAGATGGGGCCGTCTCTCTTTTGAAAGTCTCTGGTAGTCAGAATCCTTAGACGATAATGCTCAGTAATTTTAAAGTAAGACGTCTTGGAACAGGGCAGAAGAAAAGCCCTATGTACCGTCTGGGGGTGGAAGAAAAGCACAGAGTTTAATACTGCTCTCAAGTCTGTGTTGTGCAATGGTGCTTTCTCATTAAGGGAAAGTGAGGACGCTAATGTCACTCAGAGTCCAGAAGGGTCCCCTGGCTCACCTCTTCTTGGAGAACTTCAGAGGGCTCACAGAGAACCCAGCACCTGCAATTAGGCTTCCTAATGCAGAACTGCCAAGAACAGGGCCAGCAACTCCACCCAGACTTGCAGATAGAAAAGGCACCTGCTAATTCATAGGCATGGTTGTTTTGATGTCACAGAAGTGAAGGGTGGTGACATGGCCACCATAACCAGATATGAACTAAGAAAAGCATCTCTAAACCAGAAGCCTGTCTCCAGAGGCGACCAGGGCAAGGAGAGCCCTGCTAATATCATGCAGTGGTGGGGCACATCTGCTACCCTCCAAGGGGAGGAAAACAGTGGCTGTTCTCTTTCTCAGAGTCCTCTGCTTTGACTTCTTGGGTAGGAAAATCACAGCCACCAGGTCACACACATGTAATCTCCTCTCTCTTCTCTCTGGTATTCATTGACCAAATTAATTAAATTAATGAATCTCACTCTTGCTGATGGGCATATGTGTCGTCTATGTTCAGTTTCACCGGGGATCTAAGCCATCACTTTCTGCCCTTCCTCTTCTACTTATTTCTTCCTTGGTTCATACCACTTCTTCTCTCGTTTCCAGTTAGTATTTCGTAACTCTGGTATTCATGGGAAATTTCCTAACATTATCGGGTAATGCAAATTGAACACTTATGCATTTAAAGCAAAAGGTAATAGCCTGCTTTAAAGATCTCGGTCTTTTCAAAACCCCAATTTCAAGACAAGAAGGAAGTGGTAGACAATATTTTAAACAGCCTTTTCCTGAGACACCTTTTGTTGCTAAACATTTTTATTATGGTGCACGCCAAGAGGTGAATTTCCCCTGTCTCCAGTGTGCTTTAGCTGGGCTCCCTCTCTGAAATCTTAAAAGAATGCATTTTTTTCTTTATAGGCAATGCATATATTGCTAAGAAGGTAATACTATTAGTTGGAACTTGAGCAGTTGATCTCTTTTTCAATGAGACAGGCTAGATTTCACACACATGATGGCGGGCTGAGAAGTAAAGTACATTTGATTTGTAAAACAGTTCTGGGTGACCATAAGTGATTAAGACATACAGAGACAGGCAACTTCAATTACCACAAAAATGGGTTATCCTCCTTTTCGGGATATGATTGATATCACCATTATTTCAAAACCAAAAATGAAGACACATCACCTGAGAATAGAGTTACTTTCAATTAGGTAGAGGGGAATGAAAGGAGGGGAGGGGATAAATAGGTAGGAAGGATAGTATAATGAATCAGACATTATTACTCTATGTACATATATAATTATATGACAGAAAGGATTCCACATCATATACAATCAGAAGAGTGAGAAATTATATTCTGTCTGTGTATGATGTAGCAAAGTGCCTTCTACTCTCATGTATAACTAATTAGAACAAATAAAAAAATAAAATAAATTTTGAAAAAGTCAGTTGAAATTTTTTTTTCTAATTAGATTCAGTTGGCTCCTGGACAGATGTTCCACAGTCAGGCCCTTTGATGGGCTTTTGCCTTTGACCTTTATGACAGTATTCTTAAACACAACCTGGTTGAATTGAAACATCTGGAACTATTCTGATCAATCTTGGTAATTTTTACAATACCAGAGGACTGGTTTAGCTTCTGTGGTGTTCTAATAAGAACAGAACTTTTCCTGAAAACCGGGTCAGTAAAACCATCTAGTGAAGCTGCTGGTGCTCCAATGTGGCCCTGAAAGATCTTACAGAATCTGTGCAATTTTGACTAGATGGCTACCTACTCTACAAAACATCTGAGTACTTTTAAAGATGATTTCTTTAGATAAAGGGTGATCATGCCAACTATTTTCTTTGAGTGTAGTAAGGTGTGAAGCTAACTAATTCCAAGGGGAGGAAAATAAAAATGGCAAGTGCTCCCTTCCTTTCTTACCCTGCATTGGTTCTACTTGGTTCTCCATTCCCATTTCCCAAATACACAATCCTGCCTGCCTCAGACCCCATGGTGTCATCTAGGAGCATCTCACTGGATTGCAGCAGAGTTTTAATTGTCTCAGCGTAATGAAATGCTCTCAGTTGTGAATGGATCAGAGACACACTGCATTTCTAGAGTTTGAGAGATAAAGGGGAACTGGCTTCCCTGGGTGCCGAGTCCAGGACTTGCAGACGTGAGCATTTTAAGGATTATTTTCAGGTGGTTTGACTCTGAAATGCAAACCTGAATCTCTCAAAATGCAGAAGAAGCAGGAACTGTCCCAACTTCCTCTGTAGCTTTGTAAAGTGTGAGTGCAATTCCATGTGCAGACTTTAGTGAACTTCTTGGTTACTCCAAGCTAAGAGGAAATGCAAAATGAGTTGAAACATATGTGATTAAATTTGTATCCACTGTGTGGTGAAAAGAATGCTGGAAGATTAATTTACCTTAGAATGTGTGCCCAGGGTCTGGAAGCATCCATTCATATATTTGAGTTAAGAGGTGCTTTCAAAGATTGATATATTTAATTTTAATGTTTTCAGAGTGCTAAAAATTCCTTTAAAATGCATACACAGCATTTATTCAATGTTATTTGAAAAGTACTTTGTTATAAGCTACGCATCTTCAATACCCTCTTAATCCACTTCTCATTGTCCTAAATCTCAGTGTCAGTGGTGCCTAGGTTCTTTTATTTGTGATGCACCTTCACATGGCACTGTATTGGATGAATGAAATTAACTGGACCATCTGCTTCCTCGTCTAGGAAGTGCCATGACAAGAACTTGAATACTGCCACACACTGTAGCACATGGAGCTGTTGGGCATCTGGGTTGGCTTATTTCTTATTTCTTTGCTTATTTATTGATGTTCATAATTCCTTATATTTTAAACATTTTGATGACAATGGAGAACAATGACTGTGGGTTGAAATTTTTAAATTGAATTTAAATTGATTAAATTCAATTGGCTCCTGGACAGATGTCCCACCATTGGACCTTAATGATATAGTCTTCTTAAATGCAGCCTGCCTGCCCTGTTCTCTCACTATGATTCTGAACCATCTCCAACAGGGAGAAAAGGAGGCACTTCTCAGGGTTTTGTGCCAAAAGTGATCAGAGATGGTTCCCAGGGATGATTCCCTTGAGGTTTCGTCTGCCTATTGTTTTCTTCGACATTGATAGTTTTCATTTATAATTTTCACGACACATAGGGAGCATTTACTACCTGGTAGGCCAAGCTTTTTATATACGTTTGTTTGTTATGGTTTGGATGTGAGGTGTTGCCCAAAAGCTCACGTGGGAGACAATCCAAGAAGGTTTGGAGGAGAAAGGATTGGGTTATGAGAGCCTTAACCCAATCAGTGAATTAATCCTCTGATAGGGATTAACTGAGTGGTAACTAAGGTGGTAAGGTGTGGCTGGAGGAGGTGGTTCACTGGGGGCCTGCCTATGGGGTATAGCTTCTGTATCTGGTGTATGTCTGCTTCCTGATCATCATGTGAGCTGCTTCTCTCTGCCATACTCTTTGGCCATGATGTTCTGCTTCACCTCAAGCCCTGAGGAGTGGAACCAGTCTTCTATGGATTAAGGCCTCTAAAACTGTGAGCTCTCAAACAAACTCTTCCTCCTCTACAATTATTCTGGTTGGGTCTTTTAGTCACAGCGGCAAAAATGTTGACAACGTTGTCTTCCTTGATCCTGATCACAACCCAAGGAGGTTGACTGTTATTATCTGAACTTTTAAGAGAAGACAGAAGCTAGGAGAACTGAAATTTACTGTTCGAAACCACAAACCAAAACACTTTCACAACGTGTCTTCAGATGCAGATCTATAGGACCTTAAAACCCAGGCTTTGAGTATCTTCACAAACACATATTCCATGTCAACCAATTAAGATTAATCCAGAACATTACAGCAAAATGTTTAAAATAAAAGCGTGACCAGTCCCCTTCTGAGCTGCTCCCCACAGGCTTCCTCCATGGATCCCTGGAGTCACTCTTACCCCAGCTGGGTCTCCCCACTCTCTTCTTTCCTTTCTAGTGATGGGTAGGGAAAGAAGGACATGGGGGCAAAACAGCAGTGAGGTGAAGGCGGAGACGGAAGTAAAGGCCAGCACTGCTTTGGACACAGCCAACTAGCCCTCCTACCCCAAGTCATCAAAGTAGCAAGACTTCTGCTTCCTGTCTGCAGTCTGTGTCCCTGGGAAACCACCCTAGGAAGCAATCCCATCCCTAAGGGGTGAAATAAGAAGGAAGAACAGACAGAATCCCGTGTTTTCTCTATCTTCATCTTTACAAGGAGCTGTAGCCCACCTAAGTTGTTACCTCTCTGCTTGTCATGAATTTTACAACAAAAATGGTTTTCCAGGCAAAATGTCAACAATGTGTTATTTAGAATGTCCTGTTTGTAAGATGAAGCCTTTCATTGTGCGTTCTATGCAGCATCTAAGAGATGGCATGGAAGAGCCTTTTGCATACAGATGCGCTTGTAGGAAAAGTTGGACCAAGTCCTCTATCAAGACTGGACTGCCTCAACCACGTGCTGGACAATTCATACTGAGAGAGGCTCATCAGGCAGAAGGAGGATGGCTGAGAAACAGCCTTCTGTGCAGAAACCATTTCTTGAGAGAAATCCTATTATCATGGCACTTTCAAAGCAAGAATCCTCCTCCCCACTACTTATGTACAAATACTTCATTCTCCCTTAGTGTGTTTCATTTGCAATTTTCTGCATTAAAACTCTAAATCTTTTTCAGGCTCTGATTTTAATTACTTTTATCAGAAAATGTGAAAAAAAAATTTAACATTATGTGTTTCTATCTACTTGAGAAATGGAGCTCACCAGAGACCAACACAAGGCATCGTCAGGAGGAAGCGTTAAAACATTTATCTTGGCTTTTGTTTTTTTCTCCTGTAGTGGATCCTGGGCTTGGGCCCACATGATTACAGCTGGCAGGATCTGAGATGGAAAATTCAGTCCTTCTGATCCCTGACAGCTGTCTCCTGTGTGCATTGCCTGTGGATGTCTGCAGTGTATTTGTGTCTCGTTAGATTGATAAAAGGATACACATTTTACAGTTGAGTCTCTTAGCAGCTCATGGGCTCCAGAACACTTGCAAGGGGAGCAGGAGCCGTGTTTTGTAGATAACTGCAGTGGCAGTGCACTGGATGTATTTAGACAGACGTGCAACGTGGCTGCTCAGCAGGGCCGTCCAGCTCGCTGTCTACACAGATCAAATGAAACGGGCATTCACCAGGTCTCCACTGGTATCACCACAAAGAAAGCCAGTCTAGGAGAGGAATTGTCTTAGAGAAACCACTCAGAAGACTGATGTTTTACAAAGAAAACTTGACCATTAGCAGAGCTCAGAAAAGACCCAAATATTGGTGATGATATTATTACATAATTGTAGTGTTCAGGGAAACGGTTTGGGGCCATGGTGAATATTTCACATCCAAGTAATTAAACAAGGTTGGAAAGCAGATTGCCTGTTTTCCTCTGTGGTTGTTTGAGTCTTTCATGTTTTGTGATTAGGTTTATCGAGTCCATATATTTTTTTAAAAAACCATTGAAACTATTCTGGCACTCAACAGAAACATCTGTCGTTTTATCACACTGATTCAAAAGGCGTCTGTATTTTGAGCTGAGTTTTAAAAAAGGAAAATACTGTGTACAGTGTGGAGAGAGGAGTGAGAAGGGAAGAGTGTGTTCCAGCGTTCTGCTTTCTTGGGCATGAAACGATGAGTTGGTGGGCTGACTGTTACCCTCTGTGAGCACTTAAATGACAGCCAGCAAGGGAACACTGACAGCCTAAGGAACTGTCACCTCCTGTGACTCTCAGGAGGTGCTTGCCCTGTGGGAGATCAACCCTTCTGCAGCTGGTCGACGCATTCCTGGATGAGCTTTTCTGTTCATCTCTTGCCTTTCCATTACTGTCTCTTAGACGATAGGAAACCAAGACATGGAAGTGCAAATGGTGTCTTAACCAGATGGCAATTTTAAGGTGAACATTAGGGTCACAAATAGATCACCTCACAAAAGATTAGAGAGACTGGGACTTTCCACAAGACGTGCGTGGTCAGAGGTAGCGTTTACTTTATGTGTTACTGTGGTGGATTTAACAATTGGTGGTTTTTGTTTGACCAGGTCATAAATATTTGCTGGCAACAGAATAGTAAGTACAGAAGGGCCACCATCAACGATGACCCCAATTCACATACCACGGCAGACTGTGGTCCCCTCGGGCGACTTCCTTGTGATGATGTACTCAAGCCGGGGTCATGGGTGGGATGTACTCTTTTCCTTTCAAGGGCTTGATAGAGTTTGCATGTCCCTATAAGGTGCAGAGTGGGGAAGCCAGAGAGGACAGACTGGAGGACTCGGAAGCAGGCGCTTGCCTAGGAATCTCAGGCTCCTGTCCATCTCACAGTGACTCGTTTCCACATAGATAGAGGCTTCTAAGCTCAGGGAGGCTCTGAATGGCAGGAGACCCCATTAGGGCAGAGGAGCGGTTTCTGCTTCCAGATTTTCTAGCTGAAAGGAGAGAAAAAGCAAAGACCGTGAACACTTTAGATTGGTTGTAGCACGTGTTAATTGAGCATCTTCTGTATGTAAGAACTGCATTGAGGGCCCTTAGGTATACTTTCACCTGGAACCCTCGGATTTTTCCTAAATGTCAAGACATCAATTAATCCTTTCAGTCCTTAGGAATACCTCTTGGGTCAGTATGAATATGCTTTAGCATTTGTGTGTGCAACTGAAGAAGAACTTTTGCTGGCTATCACAGGGCTATTATGGATGGTTTCCTTGAGAGAATACCTATTAAGCCAAACACGTTTTCTCCCTCTATTCTTTACTTTCTTCCTCTTTTCTTATCTTCAAGTCATTTATGACCTGAGCAAAATTTCTAAAGGAAAATTAAAGCCTTTCTTTGCAATGCTTTTAGGATTTTTATTTCTAAATAAAATGATTTTTATTTCTTACCCAGTTCTCAAAATTAATGGATTTTTCCTTTAAATAACTGATTCAAAGTGTATGTGCTCCCCACCTTTACAGTAAAGCCAGCATATATGTTGAGCATGACATCTGTTCAAGCACAAGAACATGTATTTTGGTCTTTAAAAAACAGGAGAGAAACACTGTGGAAATGAAATGTCTTGCAATTAGCAAATAATTGTTGACACCACTATTATTGTAATTTTGGTGAGAAGAAAAGGAGATGTTTGCACAGTAAGCAAAAAGGAGGCAAGATTATTATTTTTAAGCTTTATTTTCATAGATTTCAAGTTTTAGTAAATGTGCAAAAGAATTCTGTGGTGCAAAGAACACTTTTCTACCTGATGTCCTGATTCATCTACTACGAACGTTTACTTAACTGTTGGCTTTCTCTTTCACCTCCTCCCCCCAACAACAATTGATACCAAGGTGACCCTTCACCCCTAAATATTCCAGTGTGTATTCCTGAGAATAAGGAAGATTGGATCACTATCACATCGGGAGAGGAAGGCCATCAAGAGCCGTTACTGTGTCTGTGCACACTTAATGACTCTGTCCCAAAGCCTGTGACACTGTCCATTTCTGCAGCTAGGACACATCCAGGGAGCACAGCACTGACCCCCGTGAGAGTGCTTGGTCCTGGAGCAAGGCTTCTTAGGCTTCTTTATTGCTCTCCCAGGTGCTGTGACTTTGGCTTTGGGTCTCTCAACTGTGACTGAGCCATTGCGTGTGTAGCTGCCATCTGGCTCTTTTGCACTGCCCTGGGGTTGCAGACGTCAGGGGAACTGGCACCACTATGCTGGTGCTTCCCTTGCCCACTCTGCTGCCACGAACAGTCGTTTGTCTTCCTGCTACAGTCTCCAGAGTTGCAACGAGACCACCTGCTCATTGCTTGGTCATGTCCTTTAGAGACTTGTTACTTTTTGCCATCTCTTGAGAGCCTGGGACTTTTCCCAAAGTGGCATAAAGTTCAGAATGCCAAGGTAGGTAACTCCTCTTTGGAAGAAAAAAGGCAGAGACATTGGAAACTCCCAGGGGCTGCTAGCAATTGTTCTTGCCCATTGGTACAGAAGCAGGCTGGAGATGACCCACTTCTGTCCTACCTGTGGATGAGCACGAGTTGGAGGCTCCATGGACGGGACTGGAGGTGAGGGATGACATTTAATTAGCTGCCCTGGTGGCACATACTCTCCTGTGGGACAATACTCAGAGCATTCTGGGCCCCATCAGAGAGGAAAGCACAATTGTGCCAAGTTTTTTCCCAACCAAGAATATCTGGAGGGCATTATGTCCCACAGAGCACATCCATCATGAGCAGGGAAGGAGGAAAGTGCAGGGGTGCTGTCCTCAACACCAAAGAGCTGTCAGAAACTGGGCTGTGGTGGTGGTGTGCGGAAGCAGCTAGAAGGTGGTGCTTCTTGGGTCAACAGTAGCACCCAGGCTGTGCCATGGGGGACCCTGTCCCTTAAACCACTGTATGGATTCGTCCATGGAGACAGATTCATGCCTCAGGTGGTGCCTGCTCTTGTAAATGTCTGTTTTAATGACGACATATGGCCAACCCAGGAGGCTTTCTTGAAGTCAGTAAGTTGCATGAAACACCACAGAGGAGCGATTCAAAGCCTGAGGATGCCACTATGAGAGATTCTGTCTGTCCTGGCCACCAAGATCCAGGCCACAAAGACCCCTCACCAAGAGCATGACTGCTGAGTTTTTAAGACTGCCCTCCTCTCCTCAAGTGGAAGACCCCATTGCCTTTGCGGCTGGAGATCCTGAACTGGGAGCTCCGCTGACTCAGGGCCATTGAAGGCTAGGAGAGAGGGGGCAGGCTGGAACCCAGGCAACATCTCTGCCGCCCAAACAAAGCTCAGGATGGAAAAGCCTAGTCCCCAAAGGCCCCGATCTCAGGACAGTGTGGACATGCTTATGAAGGCAGGGCTTCCCAGGGAAGAGACTGACAGTGGATCTCCAAGAAAAAAAAAAAAAAAGCATCAGATTTCAGACTCTGGTGAGTCCTGAAAAGGTGGTGTGTTCACAGATGAAACCACCTGCTTCCGTAGAACTGGATTCCTCTGAGATTAATCTCCTTCCAATGGAGGCACTAGGAAGACACTGGGCACTTCACTCTGCTCCCCCAGAGGCTCACTGCCTGACTCTGCAGAGATAGAGGCCTTATATCACGGGAGGGCACAATGGAGGTAGGGGTGGGGTGGAAGTGAACTTTTATGTCTCTTTTCTTTTGTTTGTTTTGGTAGTAGGGATTGAACCCAGGGTCACTTAACCACTGAGCTACATCCACAGCCCTTTTCCATTTTGTATTTTGAGATGGGGTCTTGCTAAGTTGCTTAGGCCTCACTAAATTGCTGAGGCTGGCTTTGAACTCATGCTCCTCCTGCCTTAGCCTCTCAAGTCACTGGGATTACAGGCATGCACCACCATGCCCGGCTTATCTCTCTTTTCAATATTCCTGGTCAGACACTAGGTTCTGTCGAGGGGCAAGAACCATGCATTTAACCGTCCAGATTAGAAATGGAGTAAAATGGGGAAGGAAGTAACTGTGATCATTAGGCAGGACTGATTGGACTCCTGTGACACACTGCTTTTGCTGCTTCCATGGCTGACTGTATAATTGGTCCTGGTAATTTATGTGCTTGTTCTGTGAATGCTTATGATATCCAGGGGATTTTTTTTTCATGCTTTTCAAGAGCCACTTGTAGACAGATGATGGTGGGACATGTGCACGACAGGTCACAGCTTGGCTTTCGGCTCCCTTCCATGTTTTAAAAAGAAACAATTTAGAATTCTAAATTCTAAGAGGAAAGGCAATCACAGCCTCGATTAAGGACTTCAGTGCAATAAGACCTAATGAAAAAAATGCAGTATCTCTTACAATGGCCCTGTGTGGCCAATAACAAAAGCTGATGGGACCTGGAGGCTTATGATGGATGACTGTCAACTGGATTCACATTATAGTTCTGGCTGTTGCAGACCGTGGCCTGCAGTACTGGGTGTTTGGACACCATGATTGCAATGAACCTATTGCTCAAGATGACACCCGCCTGGACACAGGTCAGGTCTTTTTTTGCTCATTCTTTTTTACTTGAAGATGAAGACCCTTCTCCTGGCTGAGCCTCCAAAAATACGATACCATGCTGCCAAAGAACTCCTTGAGTTCTCCAGCTATTTACTACTAAGGGATGTTTCAAAACACAGGCCAAGTCTCTTTTTTCTGCAGGTGAGTTGGTCCTCCTGAGTGAAAATATTATATTGAGAGGCCACAATCAACAGTAGATGCTAGGTCACATGAAGGCCCAGAAAGGCTCATTAAATCTGACAAAAACACAGGAGTCAGCCATCAGAGTCAAAAGTCTTAAAAACAATGCAGTCTGATCCCAGAGACAGTTAAGAAAATGTTCTTTGCCCTGTGGTTCACCACTGTCATACTGGAAGTCTGGCACTCCGTTGGCCTATGGAGGTATCAGAGACAATCGGTGATTTATCTAGTATCCATTTTGTTGAGTTGTATGTACAAGTTGATGGAAAATTAGTCAAATTTGACTGGGGACCTACATAGCAGGTGACATGGAATCAGGGGACAGTAGACCAACCCTGTGGCCCTTCTGGGAAGGATGTCAGCTTCCATCTGGATGTATCCCTAGAATTCCAGACTCGGTTCCTCTTCGAGACCACTGCCCAATTCATTGAGGGAAGGAATACGTTAGACTCCCAAAGTGTGGGAGAGCAGAAGAATTAACATTTCTTTTTGCTCTTGAAGTCCTGTCCCTCAGCCTGGCAAAACTATCACATGGTCCACCAGAGAGAAGCAGCGGTCTGACAGTCCAACTGTGCCACCATTGGATTTGTCACCTCCATCCATCTCCTGTGGGAGAAGCTCATGTCGGCCTGCTTGGTCCTGAATTATTCTACCGTACCCGATGTTATCAAAAGAAATTCCTGAAGGTGAGTCTCTTGTACATGTAGAAACACTCAGAGGTAACTTTGTGCTGATGAAGCTCATACAAATTCATGTGCTTCCCCTGACACCTGAGCACCTGGGGATTATGCCATGTATGGCTGTCCAGGCTGCAGGTACTTGGTGACTCTGCCAATCTGATGTAGCAGAACGAATGTGATGGCTGTCTGAATCACCTTGATCAATAAATCCTGGGGAGGAGTAACTTGTCTCCTTTATGCTTCTATGTGGGAGAGAAAGTGCCACAAGATGTCCCTTCAAGGGGGCTGGTTATTGGCTCTTCTTTGACTCCTTGCAATTATTGGCACTAATCCTTGGGTCATATTCCCTCCTTTGGGCCCCAGGTAAAGAGGGATGTTCTATTTGAAGGACACAGTTTTCTGTTTCCATACAGCAGTGTGAGTTACCTGTTACCTGGTCTCAGAGAACACATTCTAGAGACAGATCAAAAATCTCTGTTTACGTCTAATCATGATAACCAATGAGATGGAACCAACTGTAGGAAATCAACAAGTCTGTCTGAACACCCTGATTGTAGATGGATCGTTGATTGGCCTTAGATTAC